TCACCTAAGTCCCTAGAAACGACTCTGGAGCAACCACTCTGCAAAAGCTCTACAAGGTGAGTGGCACCCCACCTGAAGCGCTCGGACACACAGAAGCTCTTCGAAGGCTTGTCCGACAAACAGTGAAGTGCCTGCCGTGCCAGTCTGCCGAACAACTGGCCACTTGCGAACTGGGCTCGCCCTCGAAGCTTTTCAAGCGTTGTCGCATCAATGCTGCCCCGAGCGAGAACCTCTTCAAGAGAAGCAATGATTTCGTTTCGGCGTTTCAGGGTATTCTTCAACAAGGCGTAACCCCGAATGGCGTTTCCCACATCAAGCTCAATCCCTAACACCTTACAGCAAGTGGAATAGGGGAGAAGCTTATCGGTGGAAACCTTCCACCCAAGGAGCCTAAAATACACACTGATTACCAGCTCGACGTGCTTTGCTTCGCTGCTGCGGGCGATGCTAAGGTAGTCGTCAAAATAGACGGACCAAACTAGGAACAGCAACTTGACTGCTACTGTCCAGACGGCCACTGCGCATCTGATGAACGCCGTAACTGAAGCTCGCGATCCGAAAGGGAGAGCCCGCTGCTTGAACACAGCGGGCTTCTGGCTCCTTGGGTCGTAGATCACGAAGTAGGCATCTCGATCAAATGCGGTGTCACTGAGAGGCAGTTGTTTATACGCAGCCTTAAGGTCCCACGTTTTGGCATTCATCGCAGACCGGACACGATGGGCCTTGGCACGGGCTAGCCAAGACGAAATCATGCCCGCCACCACGTCAAGAGTGTGGACCGTGACTTGCTCCGATTGCGTCACTGCAGCATTAACTCTAGAGGCCCTATAATTATCGATTGGCCGCACCTTGGGCGCGCCATCAACCTCTCCCTGAACCACACCAAAACGGCGGGTCAGCGTGGCTCCCTCCGGAAGCGTGCTAGGGTCTATGGGTCCCTCGACTACACCGGCGTCTACTTCCTTAAGGGTCGCTTGCAGCACACCTTCGTCGATGTCAGGATCATCCGCTGGCCCAACAGTCGCCAGAGTGGCTTCCCTTGCACGATCAGCACCTTGTCGCAAGTCTGCTTCGAGCATGCTGGCTGGTCTGAATTTCTTCTTGAAGAATCCACTTTCAGGCAACTTACCAACTAGGTCGAACCCTTGCACTAAGTCGTTGAAGAGGCCTTGGTCAGCGTGCTCGGCATCCTCAAGAAGGGTCCTGAACAGGATCAAGCGTTTTTGTGCAAGGATGTGACGCCGGTAATCGGACATTCCCTTTCGCAGCGCATCCTCTTCACCAACGAGGGAGTTCGCCCGTGCAATCCACTTTCTGATCAGCTCGGTCCGATGCTGCCCCAATGCGTGCTCGCCCAACTCAAAGTTTTTACGAACAGCGGTTTCAAGGTCTGCTGGGAGCAGGTTCGAAAGGCTGCTGGGGTGTTCAACATTGCACGCCTGCTCGACGAACTCCTCGGGCGACCACCTGACACCAAACTCAGCTGTAAACTTCACGGGCTGAGAGGCTGCATTGGTAGTGGCACAAACAGATGTGACGAAGCCGAGCTCGTCCATGATCGCCCGGTCACATTGCTCGAGCTCGTCCAAACCTCCCGGGAGGAATGCAACTAGTACAGCACGATCCCCTTCCCAGCGCTCAGTCGCATGAGGCACACGTGGGTTGAAGCAAATTCCCCCGCCGTCAAAGGAAAGCACCGTGCCCATCACTCGTGTGCCGTCTATGGTCCTCGGCGAGCTGCCTGCTTTGTCAGCAAGCCACAGGCCACCTCGTTTGAACGACGTAATAGGCAGCACAAGGTTGTTAGAGTTAGGGTCGTTATGAGCATCCACATGTGGCTCAGCCAGAAGGTTCACCGTGAATGCTATCGCTCCAAACCTGTGCCACGGAGCTTGCTCGCGTACATACCGGCATGCCAAGGCGGTGGTCCAAGGGCAGCGCAGAGTTGAGTTTCGGACACCGACCATTGGACCATGGCTGTAGCCTCCGGAGAACCACTGGTGCGAGTCCTCCGTTTGGATACCTCGGGCCCTGGCTGGAAGGACTTCGGGTGTCTGTGACAGGACTTCGAACATGTCATCGGCCGTGAGCTCACCAGGCTGGCGGCGCGACATAATTTCGTAAGCTAGATGTTCACATTTCTGCGCATCGGCAGGCGGTGGTTGCGCCAACACTCCCGAACTCGTTAAACCTACCTGAGGCTTAGGACAAAAGGGAGCAGGCGGCAAAGGAACCCAAGCGGGACTAACCTCAGGATGACTATGCACCCCTTCGGCATCTGGCTGCACCCCTTGTGTGGAGATGCTAAGGACCTTGCTTCCAGCAGGAATGGAGAGCAGGTCCACCGACAGAGTGGACCCGGCAGGGGGAGTCCACTCCTCCGTTAGGACTTTCCGGCGCTCAAGGCCACTGACACAAGCAGGATCGCAACACCCTGAAACCATGACCCGGGTTTTGAACTCTGAGACCAATGGCAAGACGCGTTTGCTGGCCTGAACTCCGGAATACACGCGGGCTCCGGTTACTAGGTTATCAAGCTCGTGCAAGGATTGCGGCGCGTCAGCACAGCCCAGATCAAGCAATTGTTTTCGCAGCAAAGTGGACATCTCTCGTGCGAGGGCCCAAGGATAACTAAGCTCGGCAGAGGACTTAGCGAAAGCCCAAGAATCGTGCGAATGCTTGCCGTCGCAAGTGCGTTGAAGGCAAAGGAAGGCAGGCAATGTGTGCACCAACAGGGTCGCCTTCTTTCGGGAGTGGCCAAACATGCACTGGTGCAAGGTTGTGGCGAAAACTGGTACGTCTGTGAAGAAATCTCGCCACCACTTGGTGGCCCACAAAAATGACTGAAGAGGCCCTTCCACTGAAAAGAAAATCCCTCGCATGTACATCATCTTGCAGGCACGAGCACAAAATTCGAACAAGCGGTTGGCCTGGTTGACCCGAACTTTGTCTGCACCTCTCAAGGAAGGAAGCCCATGCGGATGCAAGTCATCACGAAGCCCGGCACCTCGAGTGGCAGTACCAGCCGGCGGTGACATGTGCACATAGACCAGGTTAGGCTCATTAAGAAGCGAAAGGAAGTGTTTTTGGCCCTCAGCAGTGCTAAGGTCCAGTGATACAATAGGACACACAGCTCCCTCGACCCGCGCATCCACAGCAAAAGAATCTTTCATTCCACATGCACGAAGAGCCGCAGTGAACCTCCCGGCCCCTGAGCAAACCTGAATGCAAAATGCTTCAGCGATGCTGAGTTTGGCCACACGTTCAGTGGCACGTCCAAGGAAGGACACTCGCTCCTTCCCAGTCCGAAGCTCAGGGGCCCGAAGCCCTCAAGCGCCGCTTTTCTTGTGATGCTCCTGAAGAGAGTGAGGCTGCAAGCATCCCGGCTCTGCGCACAAGTGCAGCCCGCGCGAGCATGCACTCCCCGGGGCGGCGTCTCCACAGCCGCACTGCATGTTAAATGCCCAGCACAAGCGTTCACCATCTTTGTTCTGGCTCCACTTTCCAATCAACTCCTTCGGCACACGCAGCCTAGCCCCACCTTTCTTACCTTTCCCTGTGCCTTTGCCCTTCTTACCTGGCTTATTCCCTTTGTCATCGGCCTGCTGATCCTCGATCTTCCTTTTGAGCGGAGGCGGCGGGTGCTTAGGTTTTTCGGGAATGGCAAGCGGCAGAAGATGAAAGCTGACATGTGTGTCATCGAGAATGCTCTCGAAGGCACGGTCCAATGGTCGGACTCCATCCGCGCCTGTCTTCAGGCTACGCACCTTCTCAGCGATCCTCGTGAAAGCCGCTCTGTCAGCGCGGAGTGCCTGAACCACACTAACCTTTGCGTAGTTAGGCGGCGGCGAGTCCTGGACTCGCTGGATGAGCAGGCTATGATACATGTTCATAGCATCGTAAGAGCAGCAGCCGACGAGGTCGAATGCGAGCGCCCTTCGGCGGAGCGCTTGAACCAGCTCCAGCTCTCCGTGGGTATCACATGTGGCCTGCTGCGGCTTGTCTCGCACTGTCAAGGAGCCACTCCCATCCAACGAAACCTCCTTCACCGCCTTCTTAAGCTGAAGTTCATGCTGACGCGTGGTGAATTTGTTTGGATGCTGGTACACAAGCGTGTCTTGTTGCAGCATGCCGTACACCAAATTGTACGCCTCGAATGCGACCTCTTCCACTCCACGGTGCGTTAACCCTGTGAGCCGGGCCCGCTGCCTTGTGATGCGAGCTTCGCGCTCGGCAGGATTCAGTCGCTGGGATGTTGGATCATCCCCTTTTTCAACTTTCTGCTTAAGATCTGCAACAACCATCGTGTGAGCCTCAAAGATCAGTCGCTTTGTGGCAGCGACGACACCAGCGTTGATTACTCGAGTACCAAAAAGCTCGCGGACCTGATCATTGGAAGGCGTAGCCCCTGGCGGCACTGCCGCAAAAGCTAGACGGGCTAGACTGTGGATGCCGGATCCAGTTAGGGCCGCGATGTCGTCGGCAGACAATCCGACCTCGGCCGCACGATCCTCGAAGGCCGCTCGGCTCTCGGTAAGAGAGGTCATGGCACTGGCACGGCTCAAAACAGCTGAACTCGGTAGTGGCACAGCGCTATTGAAAAGATGATATTCCGAAACACAGGCTCGTACGAAGGCACGCAGTTTAGGAAGCAGTGTTTCCCAACTGAACGCATATTCATCATTCCATCCTGTATTCTCGTCAAGACCTAGAAGCCATAGCAATCTTGCATGTGATGTATAAACCCTTCGGCACCGGCACATCTCGGCGCAGCCGCAGTGCACGTTCACTCGGCCCTCTTGAGCACAGGGACATGTAGGCGCGCTCAAGTTGGTTGTAAGTCTTGCGGCCGGCACGTCTCGGCCACGTAGTCCCATCGGTCACTTACTCGATGGAGGCTGTGAACATGCAACAGCGACTCTCCACAAACAGACATTCACTTTGCAGACCACAAGTCGTCTGCCCTGTATTTTCTCAGGCGATGCCTTTCAAGTGCACCTTCACAAACTCTCTGCAGCCGACTTTCGCTGCATCATAGCATTAACGGCCTCGGCCAATGCTCGGATCGCGGAGCGGCTTTGCCCCTTCACAGGTCTTGCACTTCCGAAAAGACAAAAATTTAGTTTGGGCGACCTCCTTGAAATCGGACGTCACCTTCCGCCCACACGCAAAAACTCCGGTCGAACTGCCTTGTGCGCAAAGATGAACGACCTGTGTCCTAACATGTTTGTACATGACATATCCAGGTTCCCAACTTGGCTTGGGACGGGCGACTGCACACGCCATCTCGTCGTTGTCCAAGTCGGGGTGGTCCTTGCCTGCAACGGCTTCGTCCTGCGAGCTACTGCTGTCCGAGGAGGACAGCTCATGGTCAGTGGGTGCTGCAACCTGATCTTCATCACTCTTCTCTCCGGCGGATGCTACACCAATGGCCTCAAAAGAACCTTCTGAAGCGAAGCTGGTCAACCCGAGATCAGGCACTTCATCATCAGAGACCTCCACCTTCGGAACTTGTGCAGCGGCTCGCACTCGGCCCGAGCGCGTAAGGTCAGGGAAGAATGTTCCGTTACGAATTGCAGCCAACATTTCGTCGTAGCGCCTGAGGGCAGGCGCCAAGTAATCTCGGCCATAGGTGTGCAATGTTCCTTCGCCAGTGGCATGGTGTCCAAGTTGTAACCGGGAATACTTATCGAAACCAAATTTACAGGCCCAGGTCAGTGTAGTGCTTTTCAAGCTGTGACCTGTGATCCCTTGGGATGGCTGCCCTCCCTTATCAAGAATCTTGCAGAGCCAAGCGCCAGCTTCGGAGGTGGTCACCGACCTGGACAACCATCCTCCGGTGACGTCCGGAGCGGGCAGCAAAGGCCCCTCAGGCCGACCTACGAACCCCAAACCTACTGCAGAAGCAACCTTGCTGAATGTAACAGCCCAGCTCACCTTACCTAAGCCGACAGCCGGTGCAACAAGGGGCATGGCAAGACCAATGGCCGCGACGTCCTTCTCAGTCTTGTGACTGCGAGTGCTGCACTCAAGGAAACCTTGCCCGTGGCTTTGCAAACAATCAAAATCCAAAATCCAATCCTTGACCTTTCTGAGATCACTAATGCGACTACGGCTGAACAAACTGAAGATCATGCATCCTGCAGCGTAACGGTCGACTAAATCTTCATCCTCGTCGCTCAAGAGAGCCTCAAGGTAAAGAACGCTGTCAGTGGTTAGGACAGCGCTCTGCCTCCTCTCTGCTTTCTTCTGTATCTCCAGCGCAACAGCCCCACGAGCCCAAGGACTGAACAACTGCTTTCCTGAGAAAGGGTTCCTCAGAGATCCGTCACAATCGAAAGGCAAGCCCACGACATGCACTGAGAAATTGACAGCTTCAGTAAAGCTTGTGAAAGATCCAGGTCGGACCTTAGCTTCCTGTAGTTGCTCGATGTAATCATCGACACGCTTTGAAGTGATTGGCAGGGCACACTCGCCTGGGCAAGCTTTGTGTATCCACACAACGAACTTCTGCATTGCACTCCCACGCTTTGCGACGGTACTGGATGCTTTCTTCCCGAAGAGTTCACGAAGACACTTCATGGCATCAGCTCCGTTTTTGCGGCTAATCCGGGATCCTATCGCAGAACAGCTGGAGTCCTCCATGATCACGAATAGCCACATTTCTAAAGCTCTGGTCCATTTGACTTCTTCAAGCGCAGCGTCAGTTTCCACAAGGTTGAAATTGACAACATCTCGAAAGCAGGCTCCCAGGGTAACGCTTGCTCTGGCCTTCTTGGCACGATGCGCACAGTCGCGCGAAGAGGATGCCTCTTCAACAGATTCCCTGACAGGAAAAGGCACCGCCTGCGGTAAGATGGCATCACTGGCTTTGGGAAGCACGCTTGCACGAGAACCAAAAACCAACTCAAGTCCCGGAAGTTCCCAAGGAAGCTTCGTGTCAATCACGCAACGCCCTAAACCTAACCCTGCGTCTTGTATGGCAACTGACATCCGCAAGGAAGCCTCATGAGAAAGCTTCTCCACACTAGCCTCCTGGACATCATCTTCCAGAAGATCAATGTCTTCCGGGAGGGCCATGCTAGTGGCCTCAGTTTCCTCCTGACAAGACTTGTCACACAGCTCCATCAGTCTGGTGCTTCGAGATCGACGTCAGTCGTCTCACTCCGATTCAAGCCTTCACAAGAAGCTATGCGATTCTGCAGAAGGCAGTTGCTAATGGACAGTAGCCGGCACAGACCTCAAGTCTATCCGCTCTGTAAAGCACGTCACTTAGAGCTTCAAGCACACGCTCTTCAAGGTCATGTAGCAGCTCACGAACTGCTCTCTCGCTCAGTGGCTGAGCCCCGGCACCATCCATGCACTACCCCCAGACGAAAAATTCTACAAAACTTTGGGGGTCCCACCCACCTCTCCCTTGAGCAGAAATGTTTCGTGAGAAACACTCTTAACATAGCTCACATGAGAACTGTCACACACATGCCCTAATTTATTTCGAAAGCGAAATAAATTTGTTTTGCAGGGAAAATAAAAACTCATCCGTGCACGCGCGGAGATAGTTCATTGTGGGGTCCGGCCTTCCCACGCACAGGCACCCTATTGGTGCACGCATTCCTAGGTTTGGAGGGCCAGCACTCACCCCTTGAGGGTGAGTCAGAGTCACTCCTGTCTTCTCAAGAAAAGGAGGTAGCAGTCTTCCATAACATGTTTGCGATCTGAGGCCGAGGCTGGGTATGGGCGGGTGGCATCATCCCCCACATACAGCGCGCCTCCATTTGGGTGAATCCAGAAGGACCGGTAGTGGCCGGAGTGTATGTCAGCACCTATGTGAAAAACTCCCGAAATGACTGCATATTGATGCCATTGCCGGCCCTGACCCTCAATCCAAGACGGCATTGAGAGGTGCCTGCGCAGGTCCAGCGGGGTGCGTCGTTTTGTGCCGTCCATCCATCGAGCGATTGTGACTGGCAGGATGTCAGGGGCCCATGCCAGGGCGCGCTGGAACGTGTGGTCATACCATGCCGTGCAGGCCTGCTGCAGTGTACGACAGGCTGAGGAAAGGGGCAGCAGCAACGGCGTGAGGCCGTCATCCTCACTTTCCGGCACTCCATTAGTGCGTCCTTCCCAGCGAGCGGGTTGCAGAGTCCCCGTGTTGTGCTCTAGCATGTATGTGACAAATTCGGAGGCGTCTTGTTGACGGCCATCGAATCGCCATCTAGGCACTAAGGACCGGAGAGCGAATAGGCTTGGAGGGTTTATGTGCCTCGTATCCATTGGATCCGCTTCCGGGTTGATGCAGTGTTGGACCAGTGGTCCCAGTTCCGCTACATTGGACGCAGAGTCTAGCGCGGCTAGTAGGGCCTGAATGGTCGCATTGACATAGCAGGTGTTACCCGAGTTCACCATGTGTCGCATACGAGAATACAGGCCTGGCGGGAGAGTGCTGCCGACGGCGCCCGTCGTTGCCATGGCAACAGTGGGTGATGCAGCCGCGGTAGCTGGCTTGTCTGCAGCCCCAAAAAAGCCACTAAGTGACATTGTCACCGCGGTCTTGGGATGAGGCTTGGAACATTGTTCCCGCATCTTGTCCGTGCCTTGCACCTTGTGCCACCCAAGCAGAACCTGAAACAGGACAATGCATTGCTCAGGGTGTTTGCGTTTGTCATAGACCGGCAGCCTGCAAAAGGGGCAGGGGTGCCCCTTTATCATCTGCACAGAATAGGCCTTGCAAAGCTGAAGTGCTGCCGGACCATCTCGCTGCCATGCTTGTGCATGGGCCTGTCGTTGATGATTCTTCATCTTGGTATGGTCCGGGGTCCAAAAACCGCACAAAATGCACCGATGCTTAAGCTCCTGAGCCTCTGGCCGGGTGGCAATGGCACTGAGTTTGTTGCTGGGCGAACTCTGCACCTTGGCGCGAAAGGCCGCCAGGCCCTGGAGGGCCTGACCCTGCATCTGTTCCTCAGTGGTGAGAGAGATCTGACGCAGTCGTTCCGGCTGCGTGCAGGCCCCCGATAAGAGATGGTCACGTAGGCCTTTCCATTGATGGAAAGCCTTGTCGCATGCAGAACATACAGGTAGACCATCCTTGGAGTGCCGACTGCGATCAAAGGAGGGGGGAATGTACCTTTGCACGTGCTCGCGATGCATTCGCGTGACGTGCATGTGTAAGCCATGTGCAGAGACAAAACCCGACTCGCAGTGAGGGCAGGCGTGTAGCCGCTGCTGTGAGGCCTCGGTGCTCGCCGGGAGGTTTTCCACCTCTCTCAGCATGTCCTGTAGGTCCTGTACGACGTGGCTCAGTTGCGTGACGTCACCGTATGTATGTGGTTCAGACGGCTGCTGGTGTGTTGCTAGGCCCGTCGCTGGTGGACTCAGCCTGGCCCATGGGCCCCGCGTCGCTGAGGGTTCACTGGGAGTGTGTGCAGGCAGGGCTGTAGTGGTGGCTTCGGAGGGGGCTGTTCTCTTGCACAACCGCTTGAGTCTAGAAGCCATCCTTGTTTGGATTTTGGCTACCGGGTCTTGGATTGAATATAGTCGGTACAGGTCAGCTGTAGGTGTGTGGCCGACGTGTGCAGGCTGATTGAGGACCGAGCGTATCTTGTGTGCATACCAGCCTCTAAGATGCCTGGCCGTCTCCTCCGTGAGGCCGACTTCGGGGAGTCCCGTGACCAAGGTGGCCCAAACGGTGGTGAACCAGACCTTTAGCCTGGCCATTGGCCCCGCGGTGCGGCGATTGTAGACGAATCGCTTGACCTGCTGGAGCTTTTTGGCAGCCTCCGCTATGCGGAATCGCAGCGTCTGCATTTCAAAGTTCCCATAGGAAATTTGGATGCCCAGGTACTTGATTTGCGCCTCAAGTTTGTATGCAGGGAAGGATCTGTGCTTGCCCAGTCGCCAATGCCGCTGTAGTGTGCCCGTCGAGTCGGGCAGCCAGCAGGTGTGCTTCTGAAGCACGGCTTCCGCCTCTCTGCCGTTAAGCTTGACTAGCATGGCACATTTGGCCGGGTTGACGCGTAATCCCAGTTTCGTCACCTCCGACAGAAGCTGTAGGATCATCTTGTGAGCAGCGTCCACGTCTGCTTGGCTGCGGATGGTGCGATGCATGGTGAAGTCGTCCGCGTAACCTGTAAAGTATCTGCGGACATTGTCCCAGCCAAATGCGTCTATCAGTCTATGAAGGAGGCGGCCTGTGAGCACGGAAAACAGCGTGGGGGCCAACTTGCAGCCTTGTTTGATGCCAGTGGTAGTTTCCACGTCCTTGTAGGCCCCCTGAGAATGAAGTCTGTATTTAGATCGATGATGAAGGCCGTGTATGAGTTTCTTAAGCGGGGGATCCGCGCCCAGCTCATCTAGCAGGGACAAGATCTCACTTCGGGACACAGTGTCGAATGCCTGTGACAGGTCTAGTGCGAAAGTGATGCCGCCGACGAGACCTACAGGACATTGTCCCCGCTGCTGATCCGCTCGGGTGAGATTCGCATTGCGACAGAGCTGCCTTGCTTCCCTTAAATGCTGAACCACTCTGCTCTGTGCATCCGAAAGACCTCTCCCAGGGAGGTATGCAAACTGGGGTAGAGGCTTCATGTATGGCAGCGTGAAAGGCTCCAGGAGCTCCTTGGCCGTGCCCGCCAGTCCTTTAGCATCCGGGCGAAGAATGCCCAGCGGCCTGAGTTGTGAAGGCTTGTCAGCCGGCTTGCCCGGTTTGGGGATTAAGCAGAGATCTGCGCGAGTCAGATCGTCGTCCAGTGACTGGTCCTGCGTCAGGCTTGAACAGTATTGTGAAAGCGCCGCAGAGATCGGCTGAGCACAGAGCTTCCAGGCTGCGGCCGGTGCCGCTCCTTTCGGAACTGCCTTGCTAGGCTTGATCGAGGCAATATGTTTTGCTAACTTGGTCTGTGGCAATAGGGGCAGGAGTCCCGAATCAGACGGGAGCTGTGGGTGCGCCGCAAAGACCTTAGTTGCATACTTCCCCAGTTCATCCAGTTCGTTTGCAGGACTGAGCAGGAAGCCGTGCGCGTCCTTAAGCTGAGCTTTCAAAGCCGGTTTCCACGGCCGGAGGTGCTTAAGAGTCTGATATGCCAGGTGCTGATCGCCCTGGCTCAGAGCCTGATCAACCTCAGCAAGAAACCGTTTGGTCTGGTCCTTGCGAGCCTGCTTAACCGCCTGTTTATGCTGATCACACAGCCTCTGCCGGGCTTCATCCTCCGGCGATGGCTCCGCACTGGGGTGAGCATTGCTCCCACGCGCCGAGCGCCACATGCGTCTGGCAAGGCTCGTCTCCGGACTATCTGGCATTGCCACTGGGGTCTTAGGGAAAAACCTGGATGCGGCTTCGCCAAGGAGGCGATCCCATGACGCCGGCTGCATGTCCGGAGTGAGTCGTGCTGTAACCCACTCGAGCATGTGCTGAGCTGGCAGCGTGTTGTCCCTGACAGCCGCTTGCAGAGCAGCGGTGTCATAATGATGCTGCTGTATCTGAGGGGCTGGCAGGTTCCAGTGCCGAACTGGTTTGACAGCTGCACTGATGGGTAAGTGCCCGCCTTTCTTCCAGCTTCCAAGCGGGAAAGCTGCCAGCGGCGTAGAGTTTTTGGCAGCTCCTCCAGCAGAGACCTCCCTCGTAAGCACAAAGTCAATTTGAGTGCGCGTATCCCCTTGCTGAAACGTATGTGGCGGCTGAGGCCTCCACGTGTTGAGGGCAACCAAGCGATGATTAAGCAGAAAGTTGGTAAGCTCTGGCTCATCAGATCTCGGTTCCTGTGGGCTAATGATCTCTGGACCAACCAGCCTAGGCTGCTTTTGCAAGGAACTATTGAAATCTCCTGCCAGGATAAGCGTGTCCCTGTGCGGCACGCGTTGCACGCATCTGCTAAGAGCCTTCAGGACATGTGCTCTGTCCTGACGATTGGTCTGTACCTGCTTGGCCGGTGACCAGACGTGTTGATACACAGCAACCAGGTTGATGCGGGCCCCGTGCCAGTCAAACCTGACCTCCAGGGCTCTGCCTATGACATGTTCCTGCCAGCGCACACTTTTGGGCAGTATGTGTGGGGACAGGAAAACCATAACCCCGTCCGCGCGAGTTGTTGAGGGCTCCTTGCGGGGTGGGGTCATCTTATCGTCATTAG